TTTTTAACAACCTAGAAATTCGGGAGGGGGGCGGGGGGTTCAGTCAACAGGCTCCAAAGTGTCCTGTCGAACAAACGGCGCCTGATTAAAAAAGAAGCTCCCTAATTGGCCGCAAATAGAATGTCAGACCAGGAAACCGTGGCGGGCCGGCCCACCGGATAAACACGCCGTGGATGGCGCGGCGTCTCTTCGTTTGTCGGGAACATTTTGGTCTTGCCGGGCCCGGCAACTAATTAAGCGGCGGCAGATGAGAACACGGCCGGCTCGTGTTCGCAATCTGACGAGCGGCGAGGAGATTTTCTCCGGATTGGTCGACGACAACTTGAACTTTAAACACACTCGCGAAGCTTCCGCCTGACGTGTGAAATGGTTACTTATTTCCCAGGGAATGGCAAGGGGGTGGGGGGGGTGTCCTTGGAGGATTTCGTGACAAGATGGACTATCTCCACGGCAACCGAGGTGCCCGGCGTCCTTTTCGCTGCAAAGGACAAGCAACATTTGATTTTGTTCTATTGATTTTGAGTCAGCGGAGACGTCAAATTAGCCGTATTCAGACAACAGAGACGGGCCGCCATTAGAACTGAAAAAAAAATGGATGGATGGAACATATTTAACAGCTCCAGCGTAACCACGGCAACGTGAGGCTGAACTCTTTGTACCAGACAGCGCGAGAACACACGTCGCCCTTTCTTGCCTGAGGAGGCCACGCTGGGGTGATGCGCAACCGTTCCGTGAACTTTCCGCAACCTTCCTGGAATTTCCCCGACAAGGCGCACGCAAAAGACGCCCAGACGTGTTTTAGCCTCGTAGCTTTGGTGCACTTTTTAGTCACAGCTAGCACGCTTCAAGTCAAAGAGTGAATGCTTCAAGACAAGGACGTCACTAATTGTTATTTTCGATCCGCACCACAATTTAGCTTTGTACGCCAAGAGCAGACTTGTCCTGTACTGCCCTCTGTAGGTGTGGAGGTTCAGTAAAAAAACTTAAATTTTGCAACGGTTGGAATGAAAAGTTCCCTCGCTACTGACTCACCTTTGACTCGTCGGACAAAATGTGCACGTTAACTTGTTTCACAAATTGTCCCCAAAGTGGACGTAAACAGCGTTGGCGTGTTTGAACAGGAAACGCAATTAGCAGCACTTAAAAGTGGTTAAAAGCGCTAAGCCCGTGTTTACCGCCAGCGCAGCTTTGTACACAAGATAGCCGCCTGCATTTGCATATGTTAATGCTAGCTAATTAGCTACGCTCTGCCGGGTATTCCCTGTTTGCCCTCACTTGGGCTTTTTCTCTTTTTTTTTTCTTGATTACAAAGAGCAAGAACTCAACCAATCATGTAAAGGCTAATACATGCGCGACAAATGGCAAGGGGGACAACTTTTAATGCCACGAAGAGACCCCTGCCACCAGTTTGCATTATGGGAAGCCAACAATCAAACCCCCCAGCCACCCCCACACGCCATGTCGTTGCCGTTGACCACCAAACCGAGTTAAACGTCTTCAGACCCGCAGGCGGACGCGCCGGCTATTTGACTTTAATGTGCGTCTGGAGTGGACAACAAGCCATCAATTTGCCTTGTTATCCTGTTAGCACCCGTCGCTATAGGAGACGGCGACGGCGGCAAATGGCGGCTAGATCAAACTCAGCGAGGGCGTTGCTGCATTTGTGTTTCATTGATTCTTCTGCGACTCGAGTACATACACACACCCACACAAAAAAAAAAAACACTTAATCATTAATTTAATATATCTGTGTGGGTTGCCGGGGAAACAAGACAAGCCGCAAAGGGGTGGGTCACGCGCTCATGCCAACGTGCACCTGTCGCCATGGCGATTGACAATTCAAAGCAGTGACTGCGGACGATGTCGTGGCTGCTGTAACTTTCTATGTTTAAAGGATTCCACCGATGGCAAACGTAACTTTTTGCCCAGTCTCCGTGGAAATTTCCTCGCGACCGCCATCATCGCCGAGGCCCTCCTGTTTCCATTCAACGCACCGCGCGCTAACCAGCCCGCTACTTTCAGCTCCTCGCCATTCGCCTTGTCAAAAGTCAATTTGTACAATGAAGGCTTATTACACCGGGTGTTGGAATGTCACGTTAAGTGGCTGAAAATGGGGTGCACGGCGCTAAATGACGGTGTGAAAGTTGGGCGGCGTCCATGTTGCCACTGTCCATTTAAAGGGACCGGCTTTTGATTGCACATTAAGTCAATTTGAATTCCGTTTTCTTGCTTTGCTTTCTTTCGAAGATGTTGACCAGAGAGACATCCCCCCCCCCCCGCCCCCACTGTTGCTTTAAGTTAAATTGCAAAAGTGCATTAAATGAAGGGAATGTTTGAAGGGAGTGGGTGTCTCGCACAGAGTGGGAGAAAGTGTGAAATTCAATTTGTCTTTTCACAGTTACACTTGGTTTGGTCTTTATGACTCTTGTCGCAAAACTTAAAAAAAAAACATGAAGATGATTCACTGTTATGTTCTTTTTTTTTTTAACAGTTTATAATTGAGCGCTATGAATTCTGCCTGGCAACGACGAGCTGGGCAAATGTGAGGGGCAGAAGAACAGGAGGCTGAGCGATGCAGTCAATCTACGTTGCTAGCTCATTAAAAATCAGTAGGTCAAGATTTCTCACCCCAACTTGCACATGAGATCGGCGTCCAATTTGGGCATCTCTCGGTGGCACCTGGAAGGAAAAGAAACATTGCGTCAGGGAGGGGGCGCTAACGCCAGACATAGCTTGTTTTTATTTGACGTACCTGCGCACGCGCGGGAGGGTGGCCCGCGTTGACACGACGCCCGGCTTCATGAATCATTTTTGTCGATGCTCGGAACCAATGTTCCATTTGGTGCAGACGGACGGGTTTATTAATTGTATTATAAGTGACTGTTACCTTGCTGAGTGTTCCGATGAGGCTGCGCTATCTTGCTTTTATTTGGGAGCTATTTTTAAAGCCAAACGGTTGTAAACATGCCATGTGGAGGGCTGGGGGGGAGGCAGCCCGTCGCTGATGTAGTGCTTCACATAAAATTGACGGCCAGTGAGCCTGATTGGTGCGTTTAGCACGGCCGCTCGTCGTCGCCGTCGTCATCACGGCATTTCACGTGAAACGGCGCATTTACTTCTACGAGGGCTCGTATTAAATGTTTATGAGTGCCGCCGCGTTTTTTTTTTTTTTTGGGGCCTGTAATGATTATTCACGGTGTTTATACTGCTGCGCCGCTAGATTTACAAGCAATCGCTTTTTAAAATAAAAGGGGTAAAAAAAAAAACATCAAAAGAAGAGGAAAGGGGTCACTTTGTTGATTTTATTGAGCTTTTTCAATAGAAGTGAGGAGATAAATGTGAGACAGAAAAGATGGCTAGCCCGCCGACGTCGCTACGTAATGGAAACTTTACAGACGAAGAGAGAAGACGGGAGAACGCCGCCGCCACATGGCGCGAGACTTTTCGACGACAAAACTTCAACGGTGCACACCATTTACACTCCCAAGACAAAACAAAGTCGCCCTTTTTGTCCCTTTTTTTTTTCGTCGCTAAATTCACCGACACGGAGAGGTTGATTAGGGAAGCAAAGTTTCAGTAATCGCCCCCCCACAAAAAAAATAAAATAAAAATAATAATACAAAAAGGAACATTTATCCTTGAAGAAGAATGATTGGAGGAGAGGCCGTCGCTCAAAAGCCGAGGAATTATCAAATTGCGCAGGAAGTGAGCGGAAAAAGCACGAGCCTCTTTTTTTTTTTTTGCCATGATGTTCACAATTTAAAAAGGAAGAGTGAGCGCTTTTGGGGTGTTTTTTGTTGTTTTTTTTTTTTTTTTTTTCTGTCCAGTCAGTCACACTCTCCCACCACAGTTGCCTCCTCCCACCCCCACGTGTCCAAGTTGGTCTTTGGAATGGCATTTATTGGATGGTTGTTTTTGTTGGTGTTTTTTTTTTTTTTTTTTCTTTGTGCGTGAAAATTATTTTCCCCCGCGTTGACATTAGCGCCGGTAGCCGAATTCGTCAGCGTCGTCAGCGCGGAAGTCTCCGTAGCGCCAAATGTTGAGCTGGTGAAAAACAACAAAAAGTTCACTTTCATTTGACCATTTCACACACAACACCGAATGACATTTTCGCTAAGAATTTGGAGAGGCGCAAGCTAGTAGTGTTTCTTTGTGTGCACGTTCCATTTTTTTTTTTTTTTTTGGTCGGATGTGTCTTTTCGGGCTGCCAGAACCTGCTTGGCTGTTAACGTTGTGATTCATAGCTAATTAGCGCCTGCGCTAATTAGCGCCAGTTATTAGAGGAGGAATCAATGAGCCATTTGTAGCATGCATGTCTTTTTTTTTTTTTTAATTCCCCCTCCCGACATAGTCTAGCGCTCCCCCGCCACGCTAGGCGGCAACCCCAAAGCAAAGTGGGCGAGCGCCCCGCCTCCGTCTAGCGCCAGGCGACGGAATAGCGCCAGGAGGAGGCGGCAGTGAGACTTTAATTTGGAAATGAACCAAAGAACACAAAACGGCAGCGTGTTCGAAGCGAGTAGTAGTCTCTTGCAAGGGCATTTAACATTTTTACTTTGATATATCATAAATGTATATGCATAATTATTTCATGGTATCATCAAATAAAAAAAATCGGCAAAAGTATATCGTTTCTGGTTATTCGAGTAGTAATGCTGTAATTTTTTCATGACCGTTTTATTTCAAAGGAATACAAATAATACGGTTGGACGCCTATGAATGAAATATTGTGAATTATGTTTTTTTTTAACATGTATGCCAACCCATAAGTTTCTATCGGTGACAGTACTTAGCAGTAGCATGTTAGTGTTAGCACAACTCTAAAAGTAGATGCAAGCAAGCAGGCCAGACTCACCCTGGCACTCTTGGCGGATTCTTGACTGTTCAGGTATTCCTTTACCTGCGGGAGGACAAAAGAAAATGCATCACGTGGGGGTTTTCCAAAAATTCCGATTGGCAAAATGGGCACCGTTCGTTGGCCCAATCGATGATGACAAGTCCATCGTAATCAAGACTTCAGCACATACAAGAGAGATTGTCCCATTCCGAAGTCCGGAGGTGTCGCGTTTGATTGATGATACGATCAAGCATCACATGCGATTAAATTCTCGCATTAGAACATTAGCCGTTATCTCCGACCGCACCTTTCACGAGGGACCCAGTTGCCGTTAGCGACGCTAACAGAGCCCGAGGTGCCTTCAAAGGATCACGACAAAATACAAACATTTAATTCAACCCCCCCCCTTTTTTTTTAAATAACTCCTGCATGTACACAAAAGCTCTCGGAATATTTCTAATTACGTGCGCGGCGGGAGCGCGGCGTTCCCGTGCTGCCGCCGCCGCCGCAACCGTTTAGCGTGAAAGGAATTGTTTGTAAGAGCGGGAAGAAAAGACGAAGATAAAGAAGATGAAGCAGTGTGGAGCATATTGACTGCTTCTGCTAGAGCAGCCTTTTAGCCTCGCTCAATGAAGCGCTCATGAGTAATAGGGAGGAAAAATAAAGGGTGGAGGGTGGGGGGCAGTGGGGGGTTAGCGAGTTAGCCTTTGAGCAGACGTGTCCTTCATCACGACGAGGCATACTTGCAGAGAACAACACTTAACACGACTACGGTTTGTTGTACTTTGTGTCACGTAAGATGGAAAACAGTTCTGCGAGGCGTCCAGATTTGCCATTGTGCTCCACCCACACACACAAAAAACAAAACAAACAAACAAACAAACAAAAAAAAAGTCTTCCAATCTTTCTTCATTTCTTAAGTCAAGAATGAAGGCAGACTCAACTTGTTTGTTTGTTTGTTTGTTGTGAGGACATACTTGCAGAGTGAGAAGACCCGATTGGACAAACTAACCCCACAAATGACAGAATTCCTCCTCCCGCTTAATGGAGGCGTCGTGTGTCTTATTATAGCAGCAGATGCGCCGGCATCGGCGCTTGTACGCTCGACACGGCGGTAACATCTGGCGCTCTTGTACTCGGACTCGAGTGCCACACCGGCTGCGCGAGTCATCCGTCAAAGCGGAGTAAAAGAGATTTGGGGTTGGGGGGGGGGGCGGAAGGGAGGCGTCAGCGGGGCCAGATGTCGCCGTAAAAGAAAAGAGCCATGCAAGCACAATAAGCGCTGATGATCCCGCCGCCGTCTTACTCGGCGGTCCCATCCGCCGACGTCAAGGATGGCCTTGCGGTATGCCGACAGCTCAGAGAATCCCGCGGCGGACCCCTTTTTTTTGCTTTCAAGGCGTTTGTTTCAAAAGCAGGCAAAATTGACGAAGAGGTGCGAAAAGAAGGGCTCATCTGGAAACGACGTACGCGGGGAACGTTCATGGAAGTGCTCTTTTGTGACTTTGCTAAAGAGCCCTAGCTTTTAATTTCTTCAGCGTCTCTACAAGTGTCAGGAAAAACGTCTTAGTTTTGGCCACTTGGAACTACCTGCCGAAGGTGCGATCGTTCCTGCAAGGCGAGTGAGAGATTGCGGCAATCACGAAGGGGAAAGCGAGAGAGAGAGAGTGCGCGCCAAGCTAGCTGTTTCGCCAATCTGGCTGGCCGATGCGCGCCGTTGTCCAGGTGGCGTTCCGATGAGTGACAAATCGGCGGCGGCTTTCTGACAGGTTGCGTGCGATCTGGTGCGTAGGATTCGCCCGGGCCTGCTTGAAAAACATCACAGCGAAAAGAAAAACACTATGCGAAAGCAGATTTTGCCAGTGACTAATCAAAGTCGCGGCGCTGAGAAGCCACTCGGCCGTGACGGGAACAATGTCGCATGTCGGGCCTCGCTCATTAACGGCGATGATGATCAGAAGCTCTGGCTGCCAGACATGAGCAGTCGATCTCCAACCAACCAAATAAAACTAAACCCCGCCGCCGCTGCTATCTCCCTTTCCTTTTTTTTTTTTCTTTTTCGCTCTCGATTGTTGTTGGTGTCCGACTGACAAGGGCTGTAGATGAAATGGCTTGGAGGTGGTTTGTTGTCGGCGCTCCCTGGGAGAGGCCTGTCAGTCACCAAGGCAGCCGCATTAATCGTGCGAGGCCTGCGGCAGGGATTTTGGGCAGCGAAGAAGCCTCCTCGGGCGAATACTTTGATATCAGCTGACCACAGCAATGTGTTCGAACCTCCATTTTAATAGAGGGACGTACCAGGGCTGCCATTTTACATCATAAGCAACATTGGGTTGTTGTTGTTTTTTGTTTTTTTTTTAACTGTAGTGTTTGAGGTGCCCTGACGGGGCCTCGCTGTTCCTCCCAGCGAGGCTGTTGGTGGGGATCAGGCGCTCTGCTGGGAATGTGCCATGACAAGCCCACCAGCATGTGCTCACACGAAGGGGGAGGGGCATATGAGAGGGAACATTCGAGACTAGTCCCCCACCTCAAGGGCACTGTGAAAATAAAAACACACAAATATGGAAGGCAGGCATTTTACATGCCGCTGTGCCCATTTTTTAAAACCTTTTTTTCCTCTACGAAGTCATAAAAATAGAAGAAGCTGTACACCACAAGTGCCCAAAGTATAACCTGGGGGTCATTTGCATAAAATGTTTGCACATGAAGTACAAGTTGAAGTGCTCCACCCACACCCCCCCCCTTTTACCTTCGTTTTTCTGTCATATAACTTGTCCTATTTGATCCTGGTTTTCGTGTGCATGCATACCGATGCACCTTCAGTAACAACTCAGTCAACAGACAAAGTTTTGACATCTGCTATATGTTTCACTTCTAGACGTGCATCCCACAGTCATGTGTGACCAAGGGTCTTTGGGGACAGAGTGGGACTATGTGTGTGTGTCTATGTGTGAGTGTGCAGTCAATAGCAGGCAAGCAGAAAATGTCCATTAAAAGCCCCCCCCTCCCATCACTAACTCGGGATTGTAAATTAGGTATTGAGCCATTGGTAGAAAGCGGTCATGCTGGCCGACATCCATGACGCACGGTGCGTGTGTGTTTGTGTGTGTGTGTGCGCGCGTGCATGCGTGTTTGGTGACGGAATGGTGGGGGTGGGGGTGGGGGACTGGTCTTGATGGGCTGTGACAGGCACTGAGGTTGAACAGCGAGGGCAGCGACCTGAAAGCCTGTCAATTGGTGTTCCGGAAACAGCTAAAAGCCATTTATAGATGACATGGTGGGCTGTGTGTCGGTCGGGAGGGGCGGCGGCGGCGGCCATGATCCACATAAACCTCGAATTTAACTCAAAGTGCACGAGTTTTTCACTAGATGATGGTCAATAAGGCGGTTCAGTGCATGGCGAAGTAACAGGTGGCGCTAGACGCTACAAGCTTAGGGCCAGTTTGGGGGGAAGGGAGAAGGAAATTAATTTGGATAAAAGGAACCCGAGAAAAGAGGGCGAAAACCAAAGCGGTTTGACAAAGTTCCCTAGATTTGAAATACAGTTTTCATGTCAACTGAAGAACACAATGTCAGAAGTCAGAACGCAAAGAAAACTAACAGGTAAACCGATGGACGCCAAATAAAGTATCGTACTCAATTAAAAGCAAAAATTGAAAAATCCAGACCATGTTTCTGAGAAATGAAAAATATATATATACTTAAGTTCACTTAATTCATTCGGGGAGAGCCAGCCTGCCTTATAAAAATATCCCGATTCCCATGTGACAAGCAGCACATTCTAGCTGTGATTAATGGAACGCGGGATCCCTGGAGGCATCCTGGCGTACGCGCACCCCCTTTTCCTCTCATTTCCTGTATGGATTCCACACATGCGCCGAACACTTCCCACCACCACCATCACTCTCCCCGCTCTGTCATTGCGTCCTGCCACGGGCCATTAGTGCAGTACGGCCGTTGCCAGGACCTCCGCGATATGCCGGGGACTCAAAGAACGACGGCGACGACAAAATCGGGAGTCGGACAATATGGCGGGAGGAGCGAGGATGGGTGTGGGACGCCATGTCTGGGCCCCCTCAAAGCTATTTACACAGATAGCGAAACGTGGGGGCTGAGTGTGAATATGTGACATTTCCCAAAGCGCATCTTGCTAATGCTATGCCAACTATCAAGAGTTCTTAATAGACATATTCACACATTTGGATGACTTCTCTTAGTAAAATCGATGTCTGTATGTATGTGTTCACTTTGGAATCTCCCCCGGTCAATGCACCGGGGCCCTTTAGTTCCACATGATTGACCATAATTGACAGAAGGACCACTGCGTCTTTGTATTGGATTCGCAATTAGCAAGGAGCGAATCATTAGCTTGTAGCGCTAATGAACTTTTGTTTGCGCTCGCAGCGGTCAACGGAGTCAAGAGATGGAATTTGTCACGGCGTTTACGAGGATCTAAAAGAAATTGCGTGGCTGCGCAGTACGATATTCGCAATAAAAGTAATTACATATAAAACGCCACACACAAATAAAATTTAACCAAGCAGATGCTAGCGGAAACAGCAGGTGCTACGACTAGCGAGGGAACCACCAGGAAGGCTTGCCAACAAATGGCACTTTTTTTTTAACTATCCATTGTGTGTCTAATTTCCCTTTATCTGAGCTTTACTTTCGTTATAATCTCCAGTGCTGAATTTCGAGACTAAAACGTTGCTGACGATGACTATGACTGAAGCGCTCTACTTGCGTCTCTCTATTCTAGCAGTGTCTGGTGTCAACAGTGCCAAGACAATTTAAGGATAGCTCAGTACATCCACTCTGCCAGAGTGAGTGGATTCATTATGTCTGTCTCTGGTCGGGTTTAAAAAAAAAAAAAAAAAAAGATGGACAGATTTAACAACTCCAGTTGCTGAGTTGACTTCACATATTTAAAAAAGTAAAAAAAGTTTTTTTTCCTCTCATTTGGCTTATCGAGTTTGGGTCACTGCTAGTTTTTTTTTTTTCGTTCCCCTGTCGATGCGCTCACACCCCTGACAAAAATCAATACGCGCTAACACTTTGAATTTAATCTACAGGAACGAAATAGAATTTGATAAATAAAAACAGCAGCTGCCACTGGCAGTTGAGTGGATCAATGATGATGCCGAACGGAGCTCCAAATCTACGCGATAATCACAATAATGGTGTCAATCGATCGTAAAGTTGCTTCAAAAACTATCAAACCTAATTAACTTGCTAGATTGATTCCACACATTGACATAACTCACCCGGACCCATATATTTATTTTTTTTTGAGTGCATTTGAAAGTCAAGAGGCCTCAGTTTGGAGAATTGTTTCAATGAGAAGAACATAAAAATAAAATAAAGTGTCACTTTTGATTGCTTTGTTCAACCGTTTGACAGGAGATTTGTATTCAAGGATCTTTCTCCCTTTCTTTCTTTTTCAGCCCATGTATCCTATTTGCGAATATTTATTTATTCTTAATTCACTTCCAACACAGCACAGTGAATGGAGTGGGGCTCCCTAGGTTGGCTAAATTAGCATGTCAATCAATACACGCGGCTTGCTGAATTGCTCACACGCGCCGGCATCCCTAGACTGGATTGATAGACACTTTTTTTTTCCCTCGCAGTGCATTTGAAGAAGTTGAGCTAAGCCTTCTCGTATAAAGCAGCTGGTGTGATAAGGCGCAGCGTGTTGGGCACTGGGCTGCTGATGCACCAAAACATGCAGGTGTAATGCGCGCTGCATCAAACGGTGTGACCGCTACATAAAAACGGAACGGCGTCCATCTGCTCGGAGCGCCGCCGCGGCAGGTGCGCAACGATGACGCGCGCCAGATGCGGGCGAGATTAATCTTTACATTAGGACGGGCCGCATCTGCTATACAGTGCGTGAACGCTAATCACACGTACGGGACATGAGTGCTATCGAGTGTACATGCTGATTCCTGATTTTGTAGGACAGCGTGGCATTTATACGTTAATCCCGCGCTTTATGAGGCGCGCACACCTCCGGGTCGCACGTCAGGAACATGAAGCCTACTTACTAGGGCACGGGTCGTTTCAGAAAAGGACTGTTTATCCTTCGCTTTCGCCGGGCGTCCGGCGTACTTATCCGTATGGCGGACAAGCGGCGTTAACCTTGAGCGCGGCAAAAACGCCGGCCCCATCTGTTACGCAATGTTTAGCACGACACATTACGACGCGTTGCCGTACTTCGGGTAATGAGCGAAGACGAGAGACAAATGACAAAAGTCACCTGAGATGAGTCTCGAGAGGGGCCGGAGAGAGGGTGGGGAATATCAACTTGAGTAGCATGAAAAGCGAAAGGAAAGGGTTGTTTTTTTTTCTGTTATTATCGGCCCGTTATTTTATATTTATAGATGTAATTAAGACATGTGAGTTGTTTTTCTGTGCAGTCTCTGTACAAACTGCCCCACACCCCCGATGCGTTCTGACTCTAACAGTGAAAATACAGCAGATTTTTGCCGCTGCACCAGAAGCAGAGCAAATAAACAAACCTAATCAGTGTTTTTGTTTTTTTTTTTTATTAGCTCCCTCTCTCGTGGGAGTCAGCGATGGCCAGCGGGTGTTGTACATCATCTGTGGGATTGACTCGTACTCCATGTAAAGCTTTCAAGTGGCATCATTTTTTTTGTTGCGCGTGTACAAAATGAGCCAGATTTTTCTTTTTTGAGCCGCAAAGCAGGGCGGAATTACGAGCGGGGCCGGCTTGATCGTCAGCATGCCGGCAACACAGCACGCGCCGGATCGGAATATTGTTTGGGGGGGGACAGAAGACGAAAGAGGTTTTCCTAGCGTTCATTACCTCCAGACCACATCATGATCCTCTGGGCACCTCTTTAGAGTCAAGAGGTCGAAACAATAATGCAAAGGGTTTGAGCGAGGCGCTTTACTACACGTGGGATCGATCAGACCCATCAGTCATAACCGTGTGCGTTTGAGCGTTTACGAGCAATTAAGACGCCTGCGGCCATATTTCTCCGGGAGCTCGCCCGTTTACATTTCTAACTAAGTGGCAGAGTGACTAATGTCGGCGGCCCTTCGCCGGCTGTAATTGCAAACATGTAATTTTTTTTTTCCTTTACCTTAATGTGCAGGAGTGGGTCCACCGGCGGGGGGAAGGAGGGGGGTGGGGATTATCTTAATGACCAGAACAGTCAATGAGCTATATGGCACCACTGGGAGAAAATGTCTGCAGCTCGTCTTTTTTTTGATGTGTGATAATAATGACGTGGATGCAAATGGGCTCATTATCGAAGCGGCAACACTCAAGAACTCAAGGGGATCGTTTGCAAGTGCACAAAAAAAAAAAAGGCAAATTCACAGTACGCTACGTTTGCGGGGAAACAAGAGTCAAGCGTGAGCATGCGACACTGACCATCTTCTGCAGGTGCTTCTCCTTGCGCACGTCCACCATGACCAGGCCCTCCTTGACCAGGCCGAGGCCCACGTCGTCCTTGGTGTCGCCGAACTGTATTGTGACGTGCGGGCAGCTGGCGCCAGAGTACTCCACGTTGAGCAGGCACTGGCTGTTGTGGATGTCGCGCACCACGCAGTCCACCACGTCGGCGCGGGCGTCCTCCTGCGGGGAACGCACGAATCACCGAAAATTCACAACAGCGGAACCATACCGAGATTTGTTCCATTCACCTGCCACCGTGTGTTTTTGGAACGTGGGAGGAACCCGGAGTACCCGGAGAAAACCCAGGGAGGCCCACGGGGAGAACGCGCAAACGCCACACAGGAACGACGGAGTCGGAATCGAACCCTGCACCTCTGCACTGTGAGGCCGGCGTGCTAACCAGTTGCCCACTGTTCCACCGAACCAAAATTATACGTCTCAAAATTCTGACCAAAAACGACAATTAAGTTTTACATTTTAGCAAGGAGATGCTAACATAGGTAGCACCTAGCGAGAGTTAACAATCAGCACATCAATGCCCAGAAAACTACTTCCAAGCGCCGTGATTGTCAGTCTTCACTTTAGTTTTAGCACATTTTAATTCTAATTGTAATTAACATTTTAATTTTCTTGGGCTAATCACGCTAACTAGCCAATGATAGCGAAATTAAAATTGTGTTCAGACACTGGAAAACAAAAACAAAGGCAAGGGAAAAAAAAAATCTGTGCTATCGCCACTTTTAGCACATCCATCTCCTCCCTCCCCCTCCTGCCCTGGTCTTGTCTCCATGGCAACCCCCTTTCAGCAAACTGCCCTTGGATATGCGCGTGCGTGCGTGCGTGCGGGCAAGGGAAGGTCGTTCGAGAGGGGCCGATTCTGAATGCGCACTCAGACAATTGATTAGGTACAACATAATGAGCTCCACTAAAATGTGCGAATGTTTAAATGACAGCGTCAATCAAACCAAAAAAAAAGAAATGGCCTCATTGAGGTATCCCTAATCAAGTGTCCAGGGTGTCAAGAATTTATTTTTAAAGCAAAGCAGGTTTATTGCACCTTTTTTTTTTGATGGGGTGGGAGGTATTTTTCTCACTTCAGCTCCTTGTAATTGGCTGCAGTGAGCTGGATGAAGGCCCGATTCGCTCAAATGGAAGCCAACTTAACAACGTGAGAGTCCAAGTGAGTTTTCAGACGTTCTCCAAATCTGATTTTACCTGTCGAAGCCAACTGTGAAAAGCTTTTTCAACATTTTTGGGGGATATTTGTTTAATTAATCAGTGGGGGTGTCACACACACAAAAACAAAAAACAGTTGCAGGAGGTTGAATGGAATGCTTGATTCATTTTTGACTCCAATTTCCGGTCTGCGAATACCACTCGAGTCTGAAAGTCGCCAGCTTACTCAAATCGAAACCGTTCACATTAAAGCACTTCTCGATGCCCGACGGTCTGATCAATGGGTAAAATATTCTCCGAACATTTAAAGTGCTTGAGGTGAAAAGCCTCTTAAAAGTCCAAATGTCGCTAACTTTAATGACTAATTAATTCACTTTTTTTGTGGTCGTTGTATAACCTTCATTTCTTTTGATTTATGAACTCGGTGCGACGTGACGGAAGCGGCTCGGACAGGCCGTTTTATTAAAAAAGAAATAAACAAATTGATTTTGTTGTACATCACCTTTACAAGCGCTCTACTTTGGTAAATTAACTGGGCCGACCGAGCGCAGCCAGTCGACAGAGTGAGCGTTGCCGTGGGAACAATGGCGGCGTCGCTGACTTTTTTCAAAAGCCCCGACCGCTTTTATTTTCTTTCCAAATACAGCAGCGCTGTTTTATTGGCGACGCGAACTATCTGCGCCCGGAAAATGGTCGCGGACGTGTACGGCTTTGCGGAGGTGAGGTTCGCACAAAAAAGAAAAAAAGATCAGGTGGGTAGCGACCTGGCTGGATGAGAGCGCCTGTCAGCTTCCACAGTGTGTGTGTGTGTGTGTGTGCGTGTTTGCGGTATAGGTGACGGCTGTGAGCGCGGCAACAGATGGGCCACTTCACCCTTCAGGAGATACCCACTCTAGGGACGAGTGACAGCATGGCTCAACACACACACACACGCATACGCACACACACACACGCACGCACGCACGCACGCACGCACGCACGCACGCACGCACAAAAAAACGCGCGCACACACACACACACACACACACACACACACACACACACACACACACACACACACACACACACACACACACACACACCAAGTGACCAAGCACATTTTGGAGACATACGCGGCGTGCCAAACGATTTATGCAAATGACGTTTGACTCTGATTTTTTTATAGTCCGTGCAAATGGCGCTCAGCATACTTTTCAAGTCATCGGTTGTTTGGGAATAATTTGGCGTTTTTATTTTCAAAGACAAAAACTTGTTTTTTTTGTGGTTGGTTGTCAAAATGCAACTGCCATCAAGACATTTTGTGGGCTGTTAAGAACTGAAACTAGTCATTTTGTGGAATTTGCAGCATGAAGAAATCGAAAGCGATTTCAACCAGAAACACCTTCACACGTCGCATTTGAACATCTTATTTGAAAGCAGCTATGCCAAATAGATGAAAAAAAAATTTAAATGCCAATATTAAGGGATGTTTATGTATCAAATGCAATATGAAATGACAATAAGTGATTTTAAAATATGGAAACGAGCAACTGTATCTTACTGTATCAACTGTTACTTACGTCCTGCGGCACCTGGATGTAGGCGAAGGCGTACTCGGTGGCCTGCGCCGGCAGCGTTCTGGTGCTGAAGGCGGGCGGGATGGCGGCGAGGCGGGTGCACGGCACGGTTTCTCTCTGGCAACAAACAGAGATTTGATTGGGGTTTATTATCGTCGTTTGTGTCGAGCTTTCCCAGTTTAGGACCGATGTCAACTGGGGGGGGTACACGAGGCTTTTGGCAGCTGCCCGAGAGCCTGGAGTCAAGAAGCCGAACACATACAGCAACACGGCAGAGGCGTGACAATTAGCCCTGATTGCTGTGATTGTTTCTATGAAGAATTTTGAGTAAGAAAGGAGGCAGGGTTCTGAAAATAACTGTTTGTGTGAGAGGGGGGGTGGGATTTTTTCCCCCCCCTTCCACAATGGAACTGTTGCAAATGATGACAATTAGCAGCTCATGCTGTGTGCTTTTTTTTTTTTTTTTAAGTCACTTGTAATTTAGCTTTCCTTGAAAGCCGAATATTTAGCAATGCATTGATTTGAGATGCCAGTCAGAGAGACAAAATCCTGCGGAATTTCCCCGAGCACGTGCGGCTCAAAGCACCCGGGAAATTTGTTTTACTAGCCCATGAGCTCATAAAATGAACACACACGCTTAAATGTTCTCTCGAGTGGGTGACTTGAACAAGATAAGGCGGCACAGTGGAGACAATTGTGACAAAAAGCCGGACCCGAAAAAAAAGCGCCATTGAAAAGTGTGGCGCTCCATTAACGAGGCGCGGATATTAGACTAATGCGGTCAGTGCGCTGCGGAGTCAGGAGGGCCAACACCTTCAACATTTGCGACCAATCAAACGGCTGTGGATTTATTGACGTCGTATTAAGAGACTCGCGCGGCGGTTGTAAATGTCTCTTTTGAAGAAGAAGGGAAAAAAAAAGCGGGGGGGACAAAGGCGCTTTGTTGGAGTGGATGGACTGGTTGGCGAAAACACACGAAACCGGTCATCATTTCTATCACTCACGTTGCCGTAGTCGATGTAGAAGACGTGCACTTTCGCCGGCGATGCCACTTTCTCCACTCGGGCTCTGTACCTGCAGGGAAAAAAACAAAACAAAAAAAAACTTTCAGTCTGTAGACAACTCGCTGGTTTTTATGTGGGTACCACAATTGCGCCGAAATGTAAACACGCAGCCTGCGCATGTGCGGGTGTCGAGCCGGAGCTGAAAAAAATGAAACGTCAGGTGTTCTTGGTGTCCTGTTTTTTTTTATTCCGACACGTACCATTCACCATCAGCAAACTTGGCTATGCAGGAGTCGCCCCGGCGTGGAGCGTAGGCCCCTTCCACGGGGGGCTGGGCGGCGATCTCTGCTCGCATGGTGTCCATCAGAGTCTCCAGCTGGCCTCCTAGTGGGGAACACACAAGTTGATTGATCAGCCGACACACTTTGACATTTGATTGACGTACGGCAAAGCCATACTCTTGCTCCGTCCGCAGAATCGTCTGATATTGGTGTAAAATCGAATGGGAGACGGTTCTGTTTATGTAAATGATAAAGGCGCGAATGAGAGCCACAGCAGGACGTCCAGATGGAGAGCAAAATGAAGTCACTTTTCGGCTTGAGTGACAAAGCATTAAAAATAAATAAATAAATGATCCAACTCGTACTTGGGGGCGATTTTCAATATCTCAACTCTCTACATCAATTTGCGATCGAGTGAACGGTGACTAACGCCACCTCGGGGCCATAAATAGCTGCGCCTCGAGTGCGAGCTCTAACACGATTATTACAGCTGCGAGTGATACAGTCAAAGGCCGTTGACAAGCGTCGGCGCGGTTGGCCGCCTTTAACGAGACAATTTACGACCCCGCGCGCACGCTTCCAGAGATTCACTCCGGCCACTTCCCAAGTCAAGTCCTGTCACGTCTCGTCCCAACATAAATCCATCACGGTTAGTCTCACCGAGATAATCGGTTCAGTTCGTCAACTGTTTGGAAAACAAAACATGGGCGACGAAGCGGTTTGCTGAAGAGCGGCTAGACCACTGCGAAGGCGAACACAGAAAATTAGCGTGAACGCGCGTGAGATTTTGTTGCTGTTGAAACGTCTTTTCCTAAAGTCTGTGGCGCAAAAATCGACGACAAAATTTGTTTTTTTAAATCTTTGGTCGGTCAGCCCCTATTGACCACTTTTTCCCCAAACAGTGGTGCCCCCCCTACCCCCACCCCCAGGGTCGCGGTCGTGTGGCTCCATCCCATCTCGCGCTTGCTTCCTGCCGTAATGAGCCCTCAAGCCCAGGTGCCACTTGGCCCGCATTATTCACACTTCCGCCTTGTACGCTGAGCAGCTGTTCATCACCTAATGAAGCCCCCTGACCCTCCCCAGTCCTGCTCTTCAAAGCCTGGACGCCCCCCCACCACCACCACCACCACCACCATCTTTTTAATCTCAACTCTGTTGACTTGGGATATCTCCGAGGAGATTGATCACGGGAGAACCGGAGAGCCTGTTGCTCGTTGGCCTCTCTCGTCTTATTGGCATAATTTTCGAAAGTGATCTTTATATGACACGGGTCTTGCTGCAAAAAAAAAAAAAAAAAAAAGTGAGGGACTACTGTACTGTGCTGAAAAGATATCAATGATATCATCAATCATGTTATAGGAGATGACAAAAAATGTCTTTTAAGCCCTAATATAAAAAAAAAAAAAAGCTCTAACCTCACTTTCATCCATATCTCATCCTAATGGCACATTTGGCAGCAAATTCAACTCAACAAGGATGTTACAGACACAGCAACTGACATTTTTTTCCCCCGTACGTCACATTATTTTGTTTTCTCATCGATTAGACGAGTTGAAAGGTTTGCATCGGTCTGCCTTCTGCCAGATGTGCATTACGGGTGCCATTTTTTTTTTTTTTTAAATCACGACTGGATTAATCTGCCTCGAGTCAATGTTAGCCATCAAACATTGACCACGTGATTGCTGCTAAGCTGGTTTGGTGGCGCAAATTGTCCAGACTGAGCTTGATCCTCTCACTCCTTTAATTAGAACGCACTTGTTTTCGAAGTCAACATAACACTCTGCTACGACGACCACCACTTGGCGTCTTTGATAAACAGCTGATGTGGCATCCAATATTCAGACTGCGGGCGCACATGATTCCACTAACTACTTAATGGGCTATATTTGGCATGTGGCTTTTTTTTTTTTCCCTTGCCCTCTTTAATGAGGTTGAAAGTGGGGGTCGCTAATTCCTGGTTGCATGCGCCCGGAGTGGCCCGTGTCTTTGGAGTGCGCAAGGTCACAGAGATCTATGCGGGTCCCCCTCCTGACAGTAATTACATATAGCCTACGGAGAGAGGCCAACACCGGGGGAAAACCGGGGGGGTTGGAATGGCGCGATAGCTCTTTGAAGGGGAGATAATGTGTGTGGGGAGGAAAGTGAGACAATGCCAGATAAATGAGTACATTAACAGATAAAGAGCCTTCCAATGAACTGAGGATTAAGGATCACAATCCCTTCAAGCTTGCTGGCGATTTGGCGAAGAGGAAAAAAAAGAAAATGCTCTAAACGTGAAATTAATCATTTATCGAGTGTGTGTAAAGATAGCCGTGCGTGAAGAAAGCTGTACTTGTGAGTTATTAAAGGGGAATAATTAAAATAAGAAAAAAGGGGATGGAGGGCCGGGGTGGTTCAAGAGCAGAGTTGGCGAAGGGGATAAAACGATAATTTTCTCAACGTTTTCTCCAGGACGTTAGACAATCGCGAGGAAGATGAAAGCGCCGAGGTTATTTGGTGGGTCTGCACATGTCCACTCAGGTGCAAAAAAAAAAAAACAGCTGTGAGGCCTTGTCAGTTTTCTGCACAATGTTCAATACAGTGTACACTCATGCAAATTGGAGATCAGCAGCCTATCCTAGATTTTTCTTTTTATTCAACACTCCCTCCCCCAAAGCTCGCGACATGTCTATCATGAATAGACCCACAAAAAAAAAGTCTCAGTCAGACCTTGACAAAGGAACTGAATTTTCACCATAGCTTGTGTTTGGGGCAATGGTGGCAAACTTTGATGACTTGACACAAAACAAGAACATCTAAAATCTAAACTCGCCCGTGTCACTGTGCCGCAACGTCATTTATACTGCGCGGCGCTCGGCTGCTGTGATTCTACAACACCACTTTGATGTGCACTTCAAGGGCCCGCTATGACTTAATGCCGCTTTGAGCTCGCGTCAGCAAGAATGAAAGCGATCGAGAGAGGAGGAGGAGGGACGGCAGGATGAAGGGTGGAGGTTGGAGGGTCATGATTCAGTTCGCCGATGGGGATAACGCCATCAGACAAAATCTCTAAGGAAGAGTCCGTCTTTGAAGGACCCCTGAAAATAGGCAAAATGACCCTAAAATGGCGGCTTCAAACCAAAATGGCCGACCTCCCGTGTCTTTTTGAACATAGCATCTGGTGAATTTTTTTGTAGGTCTACTCATCATGGCATACATGAATTTCCAAACCATTTCAAGAGAAGACTTATAAAATATCGCCAGATTTCAAGCGCGCTCTAGCGGGCCCTAATTAGTAAAACACGTTTAAAATGTTGCACACCGTGTTTGATATTTGCGTGATGCGCAGCGTGTCACATTCATATTCAATTCTTATGCCCTGTAGCAAGTAGCGCTAAAGGCATAAGCCCCTCACTTCATTTGAAGTGCCAAGGTAGCGCACGTGGTCCTGATTTTGATCGGCTGTGTTAACACCTGGAGGGGAAGGGGGAGTGGGGGTGGCGGGTTGGGCTAGCTGTGTTAGCCGGAGGCGCAACTGGGGCTTTCAAGCTCCTCGCTTGGGCCTAAAGCGAGATGATGAAAAGATGATCGGTTGCGTGTTTGCGCTCAGAAGCGATTGGGTTATTAAAAGTGAGCAAGCACTGCTCATCCCTGAGATTGACTCATTTTAAGGAGAGCGTGACGGAAGCAACGCTTGCAAACGGCAGATAGAACGTAAACGGACCTCCTTTGGGTCGGGAGCTTCTCCAGAAATGGCGTGTGCATTTATTCACGTGAAAAACATACATCAGCCGGTGTGGATGTGCATCTGAGCGGGAACAGCAGGGATTGTCGGTTCCCCGGTCTCAAGTGACACGAGGGATGAGGGCGTGGGGGGGGGGTTGGATTCCCTTCATTGCATCGCGCTAATCAACAAGCGGCATGTCTGAGGTTGTGGGAAATTGCGGTTGATAAAAGTTGGCCTGGTGCGTAACGGCAAATAAACGGGAGGAGGAGATGCTATTGAAATTCATACAGTCAATAAAAAGGGGTACATCGCAATTACCTGTCTCTACATCCTGGGCGTACAAGTGCAGCATGTCGGTGACTTCCGTGACGTAGACCGGCTTGTATTTAGCCACGCGCTCCTTCTCCTCAGACACGTGCACAACATCCTCTTTGGGCTTCTCCTCGTAGTTGGCCCACACCTACAACACACACAGACACACACACACACACAAATATGAGATACTGCATTCCAAGTCCCTCTGCGGGCGTCAGAGTCAAGAAATGAATAATGAAAAGATGAAGGGGAATACATTCTTCATCGTGTAGTATTAGACGGCGTATAATGAATCAATTAATCGTATCACCGATTCCGAAGACTTATGACAATTGTGTGGGATCAGATGAGTCGAAATGGAGTGCATATCATTCAAAATGAAATCGATGCATGACTTCAAATATGTCTAAATTACACATGTCAAAATGACGTCTTACGATACAATCCCCCCCATCATATTCATCACGCCCTAAAATGGCTTATCATATTCAAACGAAATCTTGCTATACATCAAGACGTAGTTTGAAAAAAAAATTACAACGTCCCCGCCAAGAGTGTCAAACAGCAGCCAATGACGGCAACATTGAGAAAGCTGAGAGGAAACACTTCGCGCCTTGTCAATGAAAACGACGTCTCACTCGACACACTCGCTAAATTGTCCCACTCAACGCGTCGCGAAAAGTGATTTCATGCGCCACGGCGTGTCATAACGATGTCTTGCCATGCGAGTGTACCTAATATTGTGGACAAGGGAGCGTGAAGCATCTCAAGAGGTTGAACAAACAGAAACAACACTTTGTTTCTGCATTAGTGGAAATACAGTACGAGTGGTCTTAATTTGATTGAGGGGGGGTGGCAGGTTCCATTCTTCCCCGTATCAAGGTTTGCGTCTCTTTTGGCTTCCCAGGGACAAAAAGGGAGGGCGGGAGATTCATTAGGAGGAAGTGCTTCGCCGGCGGCCACGTATCAAGCCGCACGGATGCCAGCCGATGTGTGCACGTGTGTGTTTAGTGCACAAAGAAAGCGGGGTAGCGGTCGCTTGTTAAGGCCCAATGCAAATGAACACACACAAAAGGTGAAGAGGATGGAAGCATGAAAGCAAGCTAATCATTTTTTTTTGGGGGGGGGGATTGTGTTCACAGCCTTCTCTTGCTCTCTCTCTTTTTTTTTTTTTTTAAATATTACAGCAAGCGGGTGATTTTAACAAGAGCGTAATCACCGCCTGCAAGGCGCTGCCTTTTCTGTGGTATATGGGGGAAAAAAAATTGTTTTGAACGATATTAAAGTGCGTGTGTTGAGTGTCTTGCAGTCAAGTTGAAAATGTGCTTCGGATTGTTCTGAAGCGCATCAAACACTGCGAGACACACACACACACACACACACACACACACACACACACACACACACACACACACACACACACACACACACACACACACACACACACACACACACACCCCGAGGCTGATGACCTTCCGTGAGCAGCCAACCATCCAGTTTGTTCCACTTGAATGCAGGTATGTGACTGCTGCTCTGCAACTGCGGCCAGATGCTCCGGCCAGCCAGCAGCCCCAGACAAGACAACGGCCGAGAGACACACTCGCACGCACACACACAGAGAGAGTGACAAAAGCGCCAACAACGGAGGCCCGCTCGGCTTCCCCTTCGCAACTCCCGAATGACATAACAATTTCGATGTCGGGCAGAGCCATTTTGAATGGCCAAATTTTCCGTTTAATCATCTCTCTGCGACGCCGAGAACGCGCTCATCTCACACCTCCGACGCCAGACTAACGCTTCTTTTCCACAACGGGGATGCCATCAAAGCCAACAGATGAACCTTATTATTTATTTTTATTTGTGCAAAGTGTCAAGTTATTATGACAACCTCTAAAGTGAACAAGCACTTTCTTTTTTTTTTCTCACTAACTCAGGAAAAGGCCTCCAAAGCGATGAGTCATCCTTAAGTGCGAAAACTGGGGATGGGACCGTGATTGTCAATACCAACATTCGGCGACAGGAACATTTTTTGAAAAATTTTTAGTTCATTCTAAAGATGCGCTGCGCCCCCCGAGACGCAAGTCAACAACAAGTGGGCCCAAGTGCAAATTTTGCCGTTTGATGGTGAGCGAGGCCGCCTTGAAAGGCGAGCGAGCAAAGGTGTGGCGAAAAGACCGCCGCAGACGGGCGAGCGAGCGAGCGCCAGACGGAGGAGGGTGGAGGCTGCTTTTGAACGCTGATTAAAAAGGTGCGTGTGTCACTTCAATGGTCGTGTGTGGGCGGTCTGCTGAGACAAATCCAAAGTTTAAATAAAATAACCATAAAAATCTGTGGCCCACAGTGCACGTCGCGTAATTCGGCAGAAACAAGCAGAGTCTGGAGCGTCGCGTTCAACTTGTTGTGACTTTCTCCTCTCGTCCAAAATGACGACATACAGACGGCGTGAGGAATGGCACTCTTGCCAGTGTCGATTCATTAGGCGATCGCGCTTTGAGAACAATTGAAATCAATAAGAGCGTGTTATTCATAAGAGTGCCCTTTGTAAATCAATTTAGACCCTATTATATCCCTAATGAATCCTCGGTGGAGAGAATGGCTCATTAATTCACCGGAGGACACTTCTTTTCTTTCAGTCTCTTCCTTGTCCACTCGTTGCCTTTTTGGGATGATTGGGTTCTATAAAATTACAGCAAAAAGGCAGATAAAATGAATTTTGATTGGTATGTAAAATAGGAAGAGTCGCTCTCTCAAAGCGGCGTTGCTGTTCTGTAGAAATGACAGCGGGAAGCCTGGGGACCAAGTCGAACGGGGATTTTTTATATCAGAGCTGTAAAAAGAGATGGGAGTGTGTCAGGTCAGTTTTTTTGTGGGGCTCAGTTTGCAATTTGGAAGGGGGCGGCGGGACACACTTACTGTCAGTGTAACCTGACGGGAGTCCATGAGCGCACTGATTTGTGAATGAAAACCAGCCCTTATCTTGTCCTTCTAATTTACTTTGTAAGAAACCACCGGGCGTGAGGAAAAACAACCATTCGGGGAAATGACCATACCGTGTGTTTGCTACCAAATGGGGGCAAAAAGAGTTATTTCAAAAACCTTGGGCAGCTTCTAAGCCCGGCTTGTATTTGCGATAATAGGCATTGTAAAAAAAAAACAAAAACAAAACATCCACTTGAGCATACATGCGAGCAGCCTCGGGGCACAATAGGTGCAATAGTCCGATGTGACGCAAGTACTTATGAGCCTGCAAGGCCGAACGCGGTGATAAAATACATCCACCGCACAATGGTGCTACTTTATGTGCTGTAAAACAAAAAAATAAATAAATTAAATTAAATAAAAGCCGCGCTTTGCCGTTGCGTTATGCTAGCAGGATGCAAGAACACACAGCACACTGTGATTTTTGCAGGGCCGGACGACGTGACTTTCCAATACAGATGGCTGAGCACCGTGGAACAAGCTAGCCTGATGCCAACAGGCGGGCACCAATTTGGAACGCAAATTGGGCGGACTGGAACTGGAATGGCAAATGCCTACTTAATACAAGAGTCAAGATTAAGCCGTGATGGAAATTTACCAGAATAGGCTCCAAGACGTGGTCCGATGAGGTCTTAAATGAAAACAGCACGGGGCTCATGATCCGCAGGTTATTTTGCACAATTGTATGTTTGTTGGTGATAAGGATCGGGAGACCGTTTGTGCGCGGTCGTGTTTGCCGGAAATACACACTGCGCTGATTGCGCCGTGCAATTTGCTTTCACTTGTAACAATGGAAGGAGAAGGTCTCCCATAGCCTTGGGGCGGGTGAGGGTCAAAGCGAGGCAAACACCGCGACACAAACGGCCCACTAATCTCCCTGCTGGCGGGGATGAGAATATCGGAATTCACTTCCAGAAGGCCTCGGTAGGATACGCACCACCCGGCTGCGGTTACTTAACAGATAAATGATGCATTAAAGCAGCGCACGGTTTGACGGACGGACGGACGGACGGACGGCGAGTCGGGTGCAAGGGGGCTGGGGGAGAAGCGGCCACAGAAAAAGACAAGATGCTCCCTCTCGCTCTCATATCACAGCCAGCAGATGTTCTCGTTGTCAAACCCCGGCTCGCGCGGCGAATACAACCCCCCACCTCCGCCAGGCCGCATCCGAGAATCCGCCGCACAACAAATTGAAGGCTCCGAGACGACCCGCGGCGATCACAACTCGCTACACTTTCCAAATTGACACAAATTGATCCACTTTGGCGCGTTGTCGAGCTTTTGGGAGCGCGAGCGGCTATTCTTAGCGGCACCTGGCTGCCGGAATGTGCGGGTGCGCCAAAAGAGGGCATGGCGTTGCCATGGAAACAGGACATGTTGCCGCATATGTAATTGGGGCAACGGGCCCGCACAAACTTAACAGCGGCGACGCCGTCCGTCCTCAAGGGCGCCGCACAAACAGCAAGATTGGGATACAAAACGGGGCTTTTTAAGGCTTCGTTTGGGGAATTTTGGAAAAGTGTCTTTCTTCGGGTTATCGGTCATCCGCTACTAATATAGCGGCAACGTCGCTCAGGATGGGGTTTTTTTTAGACGTTTCCGTCCCGCGCTATCGGACAGCTCACACGAGTTTTATCGATTTCTGATGTCGCGCATTGAAATTTAATTTATATAGAGGATCGATCATTTTATTTTACATTTGGATGGCATGCTGCGCTTCAGTTTTCTTGCTTTGCTATTTCTGCACGCACGCAAAAAAACAAAAAACAAAAAGGGGAATTTGTTCTTGATTCCCCACTACCATTTGCTCAGCTTGATTCTTCGTTTCTTCCGGTGAGCCACCAGATGACGTCTTTTTTGTCTCACCATGTCTGCCCTTAACAAACAGATGCCAAGCGGAATGCGATTTGGTCCTGAAGCAAACATGCCCAGCCGGAGAAGTACGATCCACGAGCCTCGAGCTCTCTTTCGGATTTGAGTGATTAAGAAAAGAGGACTAGCTCAACACACCACGATGTGTAAGTATGCAATTTAAGGACCATAAATCAACTTTTTAATTAACAGGGCACTCTTGTTCCCAGGTTGCTGTGGTGTTGCCATGACAACCGCCTTTTCCAGGGTGCCGTTATCTGGCTCACACGCTCGCTCTTCGTTTTAATTTTTTTTCCCCTTTTCACAAGGAGGACTCTTGATCATTTTTCTTTCTGATCACACCTTTCGTGGAAAAAAACGGGAGGCAAAAACAAGGGAAGGGAGAAGATGAGGGTGGGATTAGCGGGACGGCCGGGATGCGGCACAGAGGCCTCGAGGTTAATACCGATATGGCGGCGGCGAGGAAAGTGGATTGGGACATGACGCCAGGGGTGGAATTGATACTGCACATCAGATGTTCCGAAACCAGAATTGCTTCCCTTTATCTGGAGCGATCTTGTCTGGGGGAGAATTGCAAAGTTTTGGCACGGCCACTCAGCCAACCAATTAACATTTTTTTTAAAAAGCCAGAATGCTGTTGGGGGGAGTTCACATAACTCGGATGCCAACTGAAAAGGGGAACAAAGACTTCATTGAGAGAAAATTGACATTTCTGAGCTTTTTTTTTTTCTTCCCCAACAGCTTTTTTTTAATGCCAGCGTGTTCGATTTGAGAAATGGTCACTATGAGTGGTGGTTTTAAATTTTAAAAAGTATCCCAAAACAGGGAAAAACAAGAACACGGAAGACTAGGAGAAAAAAAAAAAGCAGGATTTTTGAAATTGCAGAGATGATGAGGGTCAGTTTATGTAACGGTCGCTTCCCAAGGCACGAGTGAGGGCGAGAAGAAGAGACTCTGTAAAATGCACCAAAACACACACACACACACGCACACACACAACAAAGTGTTCTCTTTCTGGAGAGACTGTTTTTTAGCAGTCCATCCAGCCCAGGAGCCCGAACAAAGTAAAAGAAGAGTGACCTAAATATGAAAAGACATTGGAGCGAGGAAAAAAAAGTCCCTCCAACATAAATTTTCTCTGGGAACTGTTGCTTGAAGTTTCGCGACGACGTTGACACATTCGGCGGTCGGCTTTCAGGTTTCCTATCGATTTTTTTCCCCCCCTTATTGCTCTGTAAAGTTGACAAGTGCTCAAACAAGTACTCATGCATTTTACATGATGCATTTAACGGGGTCGCCGCATGATGATCCTTGTGGTTTTGGTTTCGTGGGCGCAAGCGTTAAAGCGGTTAAAAAAAAAAAAATCACGCTGATTAATACTCTGTGGGCGTCTTTTGATTTGGATGCAGGAAAACGACAGATTAGAGTTTAATTCACTTGAGCAACTAGACGGTTAAAAAAAAAAAACGTACGCCAAGAGAAGTCAGCTTCCGGAGTCGCGCTACTATTTCATCGTTTATGCTGGGTCGTCAAACTTGCTAAAACCCCAGCGACATGGTTGGAAACGTCTTTTTTTATTCGTGGCTTCTTGAAACTTTGCAGTGTTTCTAATGATTGGTTGCCAACTGATTTGACACCCCTCCCAAACGTTGCCAAGCGCAACCGGCTTTGGGGGACGACACTTTAAACAGCTCCACGAGGCAGCAGGCCAATTGATGGGGTTCAAGCTTGGCCGTTTATGAGCAAGGAAAAGCCCTCAATGGTGGGGAGACGGAGCAATTTCAAGAGGGCCCCTTAATGAATCGACGCACTTTGCATTCACCTCGCATAGGAGAGCATCTGAGGTGGATGGCGAGCATGATAAATAGGAGGGCGGGAGAGTGAAACGGGAAATTTGGGAGTCAGACTGGAGGCAAGATGGTGTGGAGTCACGGCGAAAACGATTACCGTGAGAGAGAAGGTAGAGAGAGAGAGAGAGAGAGAGAGAGAGAGAGAGAGAGAGAGAGAGAGAGAGAGAGAGAGAGAGAGAGAGAGAGAGAGAGAGAGAGAGAGAGAGAGAGAGAGAGAGAGAGAAAAAAAGGTGCATTGTGGGAGAATGGGGACGATCGACTGCGGGGAGGTAATAAAGACAAGTGATGAGGTGCGAGCGTGCCTCCGCTGCCCCGAAGAACCTACCTGGGAAGTGGACGATGAGCCACTTTGCATTCCAACAAGGTCCACGACTAATGAGCTCAATAAAAAGGTCGAGGTTTGAGGATGATCACCAGCCTTGGGAGCATTTTAAAAGCCGTGCCCTCCAGAAACTGAACATTCTATTGCGATGAGAAAGGCAAAGGAGAGTGCCCCCCCCCCCCCGCTTGCACACAGGGAAAACAGCTTTAACAATAAGTGCTAGCAGGCACACCAAAAAACAAACAAAAAAAACAAAAACGTCAACGTCTGTAAATGTCCAACTTGCCTGGAGAACAAACCTGCTGCTCAAATCGCTCTCTTTCTCCGCCGCGTTGAAACAAGAAACGATTAAAGACGACAACAAACAACAACGTGCGTTTCTCAGCCGGAACACATCATACTCTTTAGCGCCCGTTTTCACCTCAGTCATTCGTCTGCCTCCCCAGTGCTGGGGGTGATAAGGGCCTGAGGCATTTCCGCACTAATGAAGCATCGGCGGTCGCAAATCTGCCTCTGAGGACCTCTGCTAGGAAGCCGTCGCGAGAGGCCAAGGACGCAGCCGTGATGCATCTGATGCAAAGAAAGACGGATGAATTCACGAGGCTCCGAAGGAGCATATGGAGTGTTGGGGAAACAAGGCGCCTGCCGTGTGTCCCCGGGAACGCTTCTCTTTGTGGCTGGGTGCGCTCAGCAGATGACACGGTCCGAGTCGGCGTGCGAATTCTGCAACTTGTGCGCATGCATAATTGAGAAGCTGCTGCCTCACCCTCCGCGCGCCTCCCTGCAGGTTATATTCCCCCTTGATCACGGCGACCGCTCCCGGACGGCGCGTGGCAGGTGATTGACACGTGAGCACGCCACGGCGAGAGGCAGGCTAACAACGGAGAGCCAACAGACTTGCTGACGTGAGGGAGAAAAAGGATAAATATGTGGGGAAGAAGCGGCGGCGAGGGTACACACACATCACTGCGTCCCGCTGATCTGCTTCTCTGTCTTCCTGTCAACGCCCGAGGCGCCGGGGGTCCGGCGTGCCGTCTACACGGGAGTGCCCCCCCCCGCCCCCAAGAGAGCATCCGCACATGCTCCGAGTAGCTTTGAGTAAGCAGGAAAGAGACAGCTCGAGTGGTGTGTGTGCGCACTGAAATTCAGATTATGTAATCCATATGAAAAAGCCTCCATCAGCTTTTTGCTTTTTGTGTGGTCAGTGGCTCATTTTGTCAAGACACACACACACACACACACACACACACACACACACACACACACACACACACACACACACACACACACACACAAAAAAGACATTGTGGCGCAGTCAATAAGCACACTGCACATGCAAAGCCACAATGCCGACCGCACGCCGCCATTTTCAGAGCCGTCCGTCGCTGTGTCTTTTTCCCGCGAGGTCTAACGCGGGGTCACCCCGCTCATTGTGACCACCCCTGCGGGCAACGACGTCCCCTTGCCGCGATCACGCCGTCCTCGTGCTCGGCGACTGCAAAAAGCCCGAAACCGCCGCCTGCCTGAAACCTCCGTCGTGTGAGGTCAAACGTTCACGGAGCGACTGTGTTACCATTCCAAGCGTTAAGGACGGCTTGGGCGTGTTTGATAGCATAGTTCTTTGAAACTCCTCCAATCATAAACATACCTGCCAAATTTGATGTTGCGAGGTTAACCGGGCTCCGGGTGCTGAATTTTCAAAGATTTCCACAATCTCACTGCATGCCTCGGCCCTAATAATGTAATCTCCTCCTAAGAACATAGCTACAGCAACTCCGATGAAAATCCCCTTCATTTGTGCGTGACTAACTGGAGAATGCCAGAGCGTTATTATTCCTTTCACTGTAACAAAAAAAAAAAAAAAAAAAAAAAAAAAAGTCGAGCGGGACAGAGGAAAAGATTGCTACCCTGAAAGCATTTCTGTGGCTCCGGGGCGTAAAGAAGCAGCGTGCGTGGTATTAATAGAAAAGAGACTGTCATCCGCGGAAACCAAACAAGGCGACTTGTATGAGATTCTCCATGGACGGTTTATCTTCAGCATGGCACAAACACAAAGCAAATCATTGTCGAATGAGTCCAGGTAAAACACCAAGCGAAGCACAACACCCCCCCGCCCCCACCACCCCGCCTTGAGCGACGGATACTGTAATGAAGTGGGGCTAAACCAAAAACAAAAGGGATGCACAAGCCTATTAGGTCCAGTCAAAGGCCCAATTATCTGGATTCCGGCTAAACCAGGTGCGTGATGTGATGGCCGCTATCGCTTTTGGCAGTGTGACAATTTAGGAAGCGAGTTTTGCGTCCTCGATGTTGAGCAAGGCCGGCAAGACTCCGGACCGTCCTGAGGCCAGAAACTTGAGGTTGGAGTTCGATTTTGAAGCGTTAATGACGTCTTTCACGTCCCGGCAGTCAGTTGACAGGCGTGTCAGCAAACTCAATGTCAAAACGAGGCTGCTTCAAGTGCATTGACAGCGAGCACTGACTGATGGCTCAAGTATGGGGGGAGGCGGCGGCGCACGGGATCCGAGGTTTAGGATTCCTGAAGAGTTGAAAGAAGATACACTCTTGACCACAGTGCCAAAGGAGCCTCCTGTGGGATCCAAACAGCGAAAGGGGCGCAAAGGGCACGGCGCGAAGCATTAATCCAGTTAATAGGAATAGATTCAAAGATGATTAGTCGGAGGGGGAGAGAAATAAAAAAGCCGGCATAAGGATGAGAGAATATTGAAGAGATGAAAAGAACCAGCGTGGAGCTCAGAGAGGAGGACGAGGGGGTTTGGAAGGCATCGTGATGAAATGACGAGCGTCCCGTTAACGGGAAAAACATCTTCAACGCGGGCTTGTCATCTCCTCCCTTTTCTTTCTCCTCTTCGGCTCTCCGCGCTCTTCCAAGTCCTCTGTCGGCCCGATGGAGTGGGGTTAATCTCCTTCAAGTTTGCGTAATTACAGCAGGAAAAAGCCCTTGCTCAACAGAAAGCGCATTCAGGTTATTATTGAGTGGGAGACGGGGGGGGGGGCCTTTTGTTGATTCACCTACTCATAATTAGGACACTCCAATTACCAGCCTGTTTCCTTCCTCTGGCTGCTTTGCTTTTAATAGATTGCTTTGCTTTCAAGACAACAGACGCTGCAATATTGACGCAACAAAACCGTATCAAATAGCTTGACGACATGGGAGAGCGGAGGTTAAACTTGTCATTAAAAAAAAAAAAAAAAAAAAGCGTGTCGGCGAGATTAAAAAGAAGTTCACGTTACTAACCAATTTAACGTGTTGAAAATAGCTTCACCGCACCCTGGAACGGTCTCTCAAGTGGTACCGTGCAGCATTTTGTTGCCTCAAGATTGAAGTTTTTTTTTTTTTTTGGAGACAATGATGAGGCACTGCTGATGATCGCATACAATTCAGCCAACTGTTCTTACTGCTGTTCGCATTCACATGCAGATAACTGCATATTTAGTGTATAAACAGATACCGCATTACCGAGGCTTAATCAATTCCATTCTGAAGTCTTGACCACAAACAAAGGCGGCGGCACTCGACTTCAATCTTGCGTTGGTGGTGAAGCGCTCGCTGTGCTCTGGCTTTGTAGGGACGACTATCCCAAGTCAATTTTGAGCTGACGCTCGACAAATTCAAATATGCTGAGGCCTCCTCTTTGGAAGGCTTCATTTGAAGCACAATCACTTTGTCCCACTGGTCTCGTTGGAGTAAAATCTCATTGACTCAACCAAACTAAGCAGTTTTGGGTTCCGGATGCACCTGCAGCGAGTCTCACCCCGACCCCCTTGTGGGTGTCGTGCTAATTCCCCCGCTGGACAAGTTTTCACTAATGCATCTGCCTCCACGTTTCATTACGACAACCGAGTTTTCTCATAGGAAAGCCTGACACAGCACGTCCTCTGTTACCACCGCCGGAGGGACGCAACTGAAGAGCCAAAGCGATAAGCGGAAGGGAGACAGGAAGCCATGCGAGCTCGCTACACTCAAGACAAAGACCAGCCGTGACTTCAAACAAGGGGCGGGGGGGTGGAAAAAGCAAATATATCAGCTTCCCTCCCCCACCCCCACTCTTGGAGGTCTCCACGGGTTAATTAGAGCACACAGAGTCCCATCTCAGCTGCCTGCAAGTTGCAAACTATGCACTAACACAACACACAACCCACCGCCGCGCACAAAACAAACAAACTCAGGCCAGGCCCGGCCTGTGCGACATCAAACAAGATCACCGTCTGTCTGGCTCGCCGCTCTCAGGTTAGCTCAAGTCACAAAGCTGGCGGTGAAAGTCAATCCGGCTCAACTTGGACGAGGCAGAGGGCGCTCGGGTGTTGTCATCGGAGGTGTCGCCGGCGAGCCTTCCCGCGGCGGCGAGATTAAAGGTGGCAGCGGCTGTATCTGGCAGGACTGCGCTTACTTTTTTTTTTTTTCCCCATTTGGAGGCGACTGAGAGAAAGTTCAACTGGGAGAAAGCCAAATGCAAGTCCAGAGGAGACTGTGACCAGGTTCTTATTAATTAGGACAAACTTGCCATTGCTAAGATAAGAGCAATATCAACATTTTTGAAACAACCAAAATAGCATCGATACAAGAGGAAAACAAAGACCGCCGGCGTCCCTATTTGACTGCAAAACAAATTATTGTTGACGTTCCGTTGCCAAGTCTGACGTCAAACATGATGCTTGTTCTGGAGATATATTATCCAATTTTAGGGACAAAAAACAAGGATGAACGGTGTGTCTGAAGGTTGCATCCAAAATATTAGCGTGACACAAGGACATAAGGCAAAACAAAGACGCTGACAATGACACTAAGGAGCAACACTGCTTCTGTCGAAGCATGTCGCGACTCGGATGCGTCTTTCAGAAATCAGTCTCGGGCGTTAAACTGCACACTTTGGTCGCGGCTTCCAGTTACCGCACCGGAATCCCACCTGGCTCATTAAAAATCCTCGACACAGAGTTGGTGTTTAATGTCACTGGCGTGACGTGTTTTTCTTTGAGTCTTGCTTGGTGCTCAATTCGTGTCTATTGTCCAGCAGTGAGTGTGCACATATTACGTCTCATTGGACCCGACAAGGACGTACACCCCCGTGTTGAAAATGTTGCCATAAAAGTGAACTATCAACACAAAAGTGTACTTTTCAGCTCCTGTGCGTTTTTCCAAGCTCAACTAATTCATTACTACCAATCAACCCACACGCGTAAAATTAACGGCGCCTTCCTTTAATGACACTCGTGTTTGAAGTAAAACGGCACACCCTTACCTTCTCCTTCCTCTGCCGGCACCCCTCCTCGGCCGACACCAGCGTTTTGTAGTAGTTGCTTCGCTCGGCCGTGAAGTGGACCTTGGACAGGGCGTTCTCCACCAGCGCCACCGAGAGGTTGACGCCTTCGATGTGCAGCCAGCCGATGAAGTTGCCGGCTTTGTCCATGCTCTCCACTTCCACCTCCACCTAGAAGCCGACAGAGGGGGGAAGACATTGTTAGCGATCTGTAGCGAGGATTAGGTTTAACTGTCATGACAAGGAATGAGGTACAGATGCTATCTCGGAGGTGTTGGCAGTTGTTCTTCACCGGTGCTTGCCATTGAGTCAAGATGGATTTTTTTCCCGCTGTGCTTTGTCATCACCAAAATGAACCCTTTGTCCGAAACATCTGCTTCTTATTTGCGGGTCAAGCCGTAGCCGGTGGGGAGCATTGAATTATCGTGGCAGATGTTTATTTTATGCTACGTAATTCCTCTGCAATTAGCCACTTGCAACTCATGGCAAAATTTGTGCCTATTCAGACTAATTATCTATTAATTTGCTTTCGACCACTCATGGGAAAATGGATGCAAACAGCACTAAAAAAAAAAAAAAAAAAAAAAAAAAAAAATCTAACATTTCCTCAGTCAGCGAGAAAGCGAGAGGGCAGGTGCGGCGGTAAGATAGGAGGCCGAATCCTGCGATTAGAAGCGCCGGCGGTTAATGGCGTGGCCACGGGGGAAATCTGCCGACAATTACGTTTGTAAACTGCTCAGTCTCGTCCGACGGTCAAGTCGAAAAAGGATTTTATTAATCGCAGGCATAATCTTGAGGCATCAAACTTGACCATTGGCCATTTCATTCAGCATCTCCGATCCAGGTTGGACCAACTCAAACATCCAAGAATTGAAAGCGTACTCAAACCTTATCTATCTATGAATATTTCTGTACTCGCCCCCCGCGAGAGACTCTTTAGCACTCTGGGTGCTGTGGCAGTTACATAACTAGGCCATTAGGACAGAACTCGTCCACAGAGCGCCATTGAATGTCAAACGGGGGAAGCAGTCGAAGGCAAGAAAAGGTTACCGACAAACGGCTGAAGGATGGAGGGGGGGTGGAATACCCAGAGAAAATGACTGGTAGCCTTATTTTATTACCTTCAGCCATGTAGCCTCGCATAAGTGACATCAATCAGACATTTTACACAAAAAAAAAAAGGTTTCTTTTGAGTTCATCTTGCCTTTTAATAGCCGTAGAAATATAAAAGGGCGAGGAAGGCGCGAGGCGGCCTAGAAACTGCTTTGACTGGAGCCCAGATGGCTCCCAGTAGAGGCCCCGCCATCGAGCCAAGATGGCTCCCGTCGGAACGCAAATGGGCTTCGGTAATCTCATAAATGCTGGGATTGTGTCGACACGACGGATGAAAATGAGGAGATGGGGAGGAAAAAAAAAAAAAAAAAAAGACAGACAAACCCACATGTTATGATTTTGTCTTTTTAGCTGAAGGAGAAGCCGGGATGGAGGAAGAAACTAGATCAGTCAGTGGTTTCTTACATTTTGACTCCGTTTCCAAAGGTATGTTTAATCTTGAGGAGAGGGGGAGAAAAAAAAAAAAAAAAAGAAAACACACAAAGTTAGAAGCGTGTGTGTGTGTGTGTGTGTGTGTGTGTGTGTGTGTGTGTGTGTGTGTGTGTGCGCACACAATCTCGTAGTCATTCCCAGGCACAACAGGGGCCCCCCAAGGTCATTGTTTAAAACCGCGTCTGATTTAATTCACTTAACTCTTTGGAAGTGAATGAAAATAAAAGAAGTGAATGAATAAATAAATAAAAAAAAAGGCAGCGGGTGACACCTCGTCACAGCCCAAAGTTGCACTAAAACAAATTGAAAGCATGCAGTGAGATTGCATTTCAGAAATTGGTATTGTTGCTCACCAACAAATAAAAGTGCAGCTGCGCCTTCAGATATGACTGACTCGAATGACACATTTTTTCAACAATCAAGTGTGTATATTTTCTAGTACAATATCATAAAGTGCTATTTTTCTGATAAAAAAAAAACAAAAACACGACAAATTTCCGTTCTATTTCCAGGGAGCCCAGAACCAATTAACGACAGTTACATTCATTTCAGTGGAGAAAGAAGATTTGAGATGCAAGTGTTTTGAGTTGTGAGCGAATTAAATTTTTATCTCAAGACACCACGACTCCACACATATTACGGACTTAGGATACCCGTCATCGTCTTCCAAAACAAATCAATCGGTGTGGAAAAAATATTTTTTTTCCTGATAAACAGACATACAGCACCGTCTTCTGTTAAATGAGACATTCATCGTCCCGCAGCAACGCGCAGCCTTGATCAGATTTCAACCCAAATCAATATTTTGCAAAGGTGTCGCTTGCTGGGAGGAGATAATTAATCAATGCTCAACTGCAAACAAAATCAAACTGTCCGTGACGACGAATGCGCGTGCGGGGATCAAAATCAATTCAAGGCAATGACCGCAAAATAAAACACGAAATGTGCGCATTCTTTCAGGAAGGAAGGATTTCTTTCGTCTCTGCAATTTAGCTAACCATGAGCCTCGAGCTCATTTGAGCAAATTTCCTAATTGGCGTTTGTTTCAGCATGAGCCAAAATGGATGCTTGCAATCAAAATGGCTGACAACGTTCAATTTTGGGCACGGGTCCGTGAGATATTTTTTTGCATCTTGTTCCAAAATTGCATTGATCGTTGGAACTGATACATAAAAATATATCATAACTTTTTTTTTTTTTTTTTTTTGTGCTGCTTGCTCGTTTATTACGCCTCAAACTCAGACCTGAAAAGGTGAGTCGGTACAACCAGAGGTCTGCAAATACATATTACCGGTGAGCTACACGTGAATGAATCAAACGAGCTGGCATTGACCGCTTAATCAATGGCATTGACCGAAAGTGGATGTCGAGTCATGTTAATGGTGCTTGCAATAAAAGACAAAAAAAAAACAACATCAATGGTAAAACGGGGGCTGTTCAGAGACATATTGCGCAAAGGCATCAACGGAAACAAGTGCCTTGTAAATCAAGAAGGGTGAGTATGGATAAGTGGACGTACGAGCACCTTTTGAAATTGTGTCTTTCATGTTGCCGCCTGTGATTTTCGAAATACGTTCAAGTGGCAAATGTCAGCGTTGACTCTCCACGAAGACAAAAGACGATCGAGTGTTTCTTTCACCGCTTTAAGTGATCAAAGACATGAGGTACACCAACATGCGCATTGTGCAGTTGGATAGAGGCCCCCCCAACCCCCACCCCTCGTCCTAGGTGATCAATCGAATCGTGTTGGGGTGCCATGCATCACTGTCAGAGGTCCACAACGCCGTCTCCTCGGCGGCGGGGACCAAAGTCAAACGGGCCGGGCCACATTGACGTTCAGGCAAACAAGCGCGATGCCATGCCCGCCATTAGACCCGTCTGCAGCCCATTAATGAGTTTCCCCCCCTTTCGTCAATGTTTAATGGATGCGTCGCACTCTGACAAGTCTGGCGAATGAGGGAAAGTTGGAGAGGGGTGGCTCGGATAAGTCGGGTGGATTTAAATGGATTTGATGTTCTTGCCCATTCAAAACCTGAGCCATCACTCCGTTCTTTATGCCTCGCAATCTGGAGAGGTTACCGAACTCGGACTTGAGCCAGAAATGGAAAAAGACCCTATCCTGATTCTGCCTGTCAATCAATATACATATATATTTTTTGGGAGGGGGCAGTTCATTACCCGAATCCCGATTTGCGATGGCTGAAAGTGGCCGTTTCTCCACCGCGATGAATACATCTTAACGGTAACAAAAAGTTAGCCTACAATGGAAACAACCCCCCAAAAATTTTATAAAATAAATTCCCATAAGGTTAAAAAAAGGGGGGGGGATCATTTGTCAGCAAACAAATCATGCTAACTGTTTTCGAAAATGACTTTATGGATCCTTTGCTGGATGAAATGAAATGAATGAGCTGAAGCGACTGCTCAGGGCCTGAACAGCCTGGATATTAAAATCAATAACAGCAATAACGACAATTCCGCTTTATTTCCCATCTCTTTTTTTTCCCCCCAGAAGGGTGGCAACATAGCGTGGCGGTCGATGAATATTGAGCACCATTTGTAAGACTAATATCAAATAACTCCCCTCTAACTGGGTGAGTTCGGGTTGAGGGAACACAAATGGAAACCGGACTGCGGGTGCTTTAAGACTACTCGACTGAGACTGAAGCAATATTGTGAACATGGTTTGGGACTTTTGAGGGGGGGGATTTGTCTTGTATTCCCTTGATGTTCATCAGGGGTGGAGGCCCGAAGCTTCCAAGAACTTTGGAGGTAACACCAAGCCCTTTTTTTTTTTTTTTTTTTTGTGGGGGTCAGAGTTGACATTGAAGACCAAATGTGTTTACCTTTCCCCGCTTTGTCAAACTTCCGGGGGGGGTTAAAGTATTCATATCAACGACAAGAGCTCCGGTTTTTGCGCTCACGCTCCACTTGCCGCCGCTCTGCGAATCAAATTAAGATTTCATAATGGAATTTTAAATATTCATGCCTCGGTTGCCACCGTGACAAAAAGTGCGCCCGAGATAGTCCGATCCGACGTGGCGGCGGAGGGGGGGCGTATTAAACAGAGTTCAATGGGACGACAAGCGACCGGTCTGGAAAAATGTCCATAAATTTGCTGGTTATTCAGTGACCACAGTGAAGAGAAAATGGGGGTGGGCGGGGGCGGGACAGTCACGGCAAAGCCGTAATCATTCGTCTCCGCCTTTTTTCTTTCTCCCCCTTTCACCAGTTGATGCGGCAAATGGCAACGCCAGTCCGTGTCACTCAAAGAGCCATTTCTGTCCTCCCGGACTGTCTGAGCTGACAGATTGAGAGAATGAGGCAGACGGTCGTGCGAGAGCGCAGAGACCGAGAGGCATTTTTCAACGTGCCTTTTTGTCAATTTATGTGCGCTTGTCAAAAGCGGAGAGAGATTCGCTTGGGCTGCACCGTTCCAAGTTGCGAGGAGAGGGGGAGAGAAAGTGTCCGATGCGAGGTGACGCTCCACGCAGCACAAATCGAGGTGGCGGGATTCGCCGAGGAGCCGAATCATACTCCGCGACATCGCGATATGCTTTTAAGACCGTATCGTGATACCGCTCTGTTTGAAAAGTGCTGAAACAAAAGACAAGCGCATTCGTGAG